CTATGTTATTTTTTTTTTTAATACACATTCTTTTGAGGGAAGTGTATTTTTATGAAGACTACACAGTTTGTCTAAAAAATTGTTACATTTGTATATCTTCTTCAGCTCAGTGGTTAAAACTGCCAAAATTGTGAAAAACCCATTTCATGTTTATAGAGAACTAGCAGCATGGCCCAGCGTTGCCCATGCTTGATTCAAAAATTGTACGACTCATACAGCAATCGCTATCACATGACTTAAAATATTTTTGCCCTTCCTTGCCTTTAAAGGAGTGCCCTTTGCCATGCTGATGTTGCTACATACCTTACTTCTTGCCTATCTCACACTGCGAATTTTTTCTAAGCGCTATACTAAACATTAAATCTGTTATGAAAAAAGAACTAAACAAAATGTACACAAAACTATCAGCTTTAAAAAAAGGACTCGTAACTGGAAAAACCGAATGAAAAAAGAATGTTAACAACAAATACTTTTTCACATCCAACCCAGTTCTGCAGAATCAGAATCAACGTTGAGTTTAAGCAAGCAAATGAGCCAATTGGAGTAAAGTGCCATGCAGATTTAAATTTTTCCCACTTGTGACAAATGCAGCTATCCATTTTTTTTTGCTAGTTAACATTCGTGTCAGTCAGCTGTTGGCTCTCAAGCTGGCCAATAGAATCTTCCTGCCTATTTGTGGCAGCCAGTTATAGGCTCTCACTCTGGCCAGTAGAAAATGGCCACAAACTACATGAAAACTGCCATAGAAGCATGAAAAAAATCGATTATTTCCATTATCGATGAGAGTTGGGAAATGCAAAGTCAGTGTTGGCCTTCCCGCTAACTTGGAGCATGTGCATGTAAATTTTGGTGCAAATCCGTTGAAAATTTCTGCCGTGCATTCGTCACACACACACACACACACACACACACATCCTGCCTTTTATAGATAGACATTATTTTTTTTTGTATATACTGAGATGTGGTCTCAAACTCTAGTAAGACCTTGAATGCGACGGTGGGGGGGGGTCATTGTGAGCCTATTTTTCTGAATAAATAGGACTCTAGTTAGTAGAAGAGGAAGAAGACTTTTTGACAGTAAGAGGACAAGGCAAATTAACATCAACGAGCAGAAGGCATTTGACATCATGAAGGCACAATGGTTGCCAGCCAGCTGCAGAGAGACGAAAGAATTTTGAAGTTCAAGTGAAAATTCTCCTGTCGTTGGACAACAAAGAACAAAAAGTATTCAAAGAAATTTTCCAAGGCACAAACAGTATGAATTTAAAAGTGATTTTTCTAAAATTACTCTATGCCCCAGAGATGAATGTGGGGCAAGTAGTTGTTTTTGTTTTTCTTGAAACATGATTGCACCTTTGTTTTTCTGCCTTCTTCAATTGTTTTCTCTTGTCGTTATCAAAATCTTTATGTCTTTTTCTAAACTGAAATCATAATTTCTTTTATTTTTCAATGGTAACCCTTTTTCAAAACAGAAATTTGTTATCATGCCTTCATAGTAGCTTTTTTGCCTTTACTCGTGTAACAAATATTTTTCTTTAAAATTTTACACAGTGGTTGAGTCTTATTTTGCTATTTGCACCTATTTTGACACCAAGGAAAAAAGAAGCTTGTGTTCTCTTTTCTCTTTCTATTCCTACTTAATAGGTGTTTGGCACAAGAATTTAGATTTAGTAGGGAATTAAAATTTTTATATTATATACAAATTAAAAAGCCTGTATTCCAAAATCTGAAAAAATCTGAAAACCGAAACACTTCCAGTCTCAAGAATTTCAGATAAAGGATTCCCAACTTGTATTAAATCTCTCTTTCTTTACTTTATTTTTATTCTCTTTTCATGAAGCTAATGAATGCTAATTTGAAGCAATATGAAAGGCATTTGATCTTTTTGTTCATTAGGGTCACCATTTTACTGCCTTGGGTAAAGGTTTTATTTCCTGATGTTGAGTCAGTATTTACTAATATATCTTATTATCTCTGCTTACAGAAGACTGCACACTTTTATATATTTAAAATGTCTTCCTTTCTCACATTTCTCAGTCCCTATATATCCTCTACTTGAGTCTTAGGGATATTCAATCAATGAGTTGGCCCTGGGCACCACCAAACCTCTGCACATCACTGGTCCAAGGTTCCTGAAGTAATCCTCTGATCAACACTACTAAATCAGTCCATGGCTGCTGAACTACTCTCCTGATCACATGGCAGATGTCCAAAAGGTGACATTGGAGGAATATGAGTAAAAAGACAATGTTGCATCAGTCATCCAACTTAGAAAGGCCTACTTGCTGAAAAAATCAGCATTTAACATTCTCTCTAAGTTGGGCTCATACACTGAAAGTGGGAAATATGCAACTATCTCAAGCTGTAACAAAATTTACTAAGCTGAGTCTGGCACAAGGTCACAATAACAGAACACCCATTAACTCATACTTGCAAATTGGTTTGTTAACTATGCCTAAGTATATGCATTTTATAATCTTAGTTCGTCACAAGGCAAGAATAATGGAGCATCCCTGAGAAATTCACAATACATTAGGCACATGAATGAGTGGACAATGAAAGCAGATTTCGAATCCCAGCATGGTTGACTAATCAAGAACATCACTTATCAATAATATTGTTCTGACAAGATGATTTCAGTGTGTGGCATGATGTCTGAAAATCACACCATGGATTGACTCAAGTCTTATGAGTGAAATTGAAATGATAAAACTCACTGGTTGTTTTAGCACCAGTTTCCAAATCACCATGATCGAAGGTTTGCGCATACTAATCTTTTTTTTTCAACTTCTGATCATACAGATTATATGCTCTATTCCCCAGTTGCTGGATAAGCCACACACTGGTTGGTTGTTGGATTTAACGGCATGTCAACTCCTATTTGGGTCATTTTATGCCAAAGCCTTATTTATTTATGTATTTAAGATGGTTATATTGTATAAAAGGTTGGGAGGCTGTTGGGTTTCATAATCTACTGTATTTTTTTTGGATTGCTTTTTCTTGTGATTGTTTCTGATTGTATATTTTCATATCTACATCCATGCATGCATATATATGTCTACACATACATATACACTATTTGAAAGTGTTATATTTTGTTGAGGATCTTGAATTCTTTGAGGAAGTTGTATATTTTATCTGTGTCTGTATTTTTGAAAATTTCTTTTAAGCCTTTTCCATTGAAATATTTTTGTCTTATTTTAATTATGGTTTTGCATTCCAATAGGATATGTTTTATTGTGATTAGGCTTCCATATCTGCATTTAGGTGGATTTGTCTTTTTTTAGTATATAAGAATGGGTTAAGTATGTGTGTCCTATATGTATTCTGATTATAATGACTTGTTTTTTCCGAGTATTTCCAAGATTATTCAGGTATATAAATAGAAAGAATTGTGATGGTTTTATCTAGTGTCACTTGTGCTGCTATTGCCTGTAATTTAGTTTTAATATGTACTTTACTTTGTGGTATGTCATTTCTAATCAATATTGACACTTCTCCATTAGCTTTATGTCTTGTATTGTGGTTATAGTGGTATTGTTTATAATTTTTAATTTAGCATTTTCTTGTAAATAAGTTTCCTGTAAGCAGATGACGGCGCCACACACTGGCTTTTGTGGGTAACAGAAAAGCATAAATATGCCTAAGCATGTATCTGCAACAGGGATTAGTTAGCTATCCTAATAGACTCCATAGTCAGCTGAGAATAATGGATGCCTCCTATACACTAGCCTGTTAGGTAATCTCACTAACCTATACCCAGTAGATGGTAAGACTTCCTTGTTGAATAGTGATGCAATCTGAAATTAAACTGGTCATTCTGACCTTACCAATACAAAGTGCTCTCAGCTCCAGCCAGTAAAAGTGCTACTGGTCACCTAAGCTTGAGGTTAGCATGACCTCGTATTTAAGAGAATACCACATCAGGCATTAACCCTAACCCTGCTCACCCCACAACACACGTGCACAATTTTCAAACACTCAATAACTGTTCTAACCCTACCCACTTCTGACAGCTCGTTTTTTAATAATGTTATTGTTAAACAGAACAAGAGGAACTGACAAAAAAACAAAACAAAAATACGCTGAAACCAACATGGTGACATTCACTGTCGGTATAAACCAACTTTTGATAAAGAGTTAGCCCTTCAATAGCCACATTTATGTGACACTGCAATGACATCCACAAGTAGTAATTATTTGTTCACACTTCATTCGCTCCCCACTTCTATGTTCTGCCATTTTTTCTGCATTTATTCTTCTGTCCATCTCAGTATCTTTCTTTCTATCACCACAGCTTGCTGTCCTTTTTTTTTATCCCATCAGCTAAGTGTCCTTCTATCACCTCAGCTCGCTGTCCTTCTCTCTATCGCCTCAGCTCGCTGTCCTTCTCTCTATCGCCTCAGCTCGCTGTCCTCCTCTCTATCGCCTCAGCTCGCTGTCCTCCTCTCTATCGCCTCAGCTCGCTGTCCTCCTCTCTATCGTCTCAGCTCGCTGTCCTTCTCTCTATTAACTGAGCTCAGTGCCCTTCTTTCTATCCCCTCAGCTCAGTGTCCTTTTTTGTATCCCCTCAAGCTTGGTGTCCTTTCTATTGCCTCAGCCCACTGTCCCCATTTCTGCTGCCTCACCTTGCTGCCTGTGAACCTGTCTTTCTATCTCATCATACATCTTTCAGTCCATCTTATCTTTTAATCAATCCAATTGACTGACTTTTTCTATCTGTTCAACAGCTTTCTTTTTGCCTTTCTCATAGTTTTATTTATTTTTTTGACTAGAGAATCAGAAAGTGTTTCAAAGTGCCCATTCTTTTGTGCAGGTTTTGTTAATTTCTCCCTTAATTCTTGATTTATTTGTACTTTCTTCTGTCTCTCCTGTGATCCATCATTTTCTATTTCTAACCTTGCCTCTTTTATCTTATCAACATTCAGACAAGTGTGTGTCATGAACATGTAGTCATTCTCATGAATTATGCATGGTGTTGTTTGAACGGATAAATTGGCTTACGGCCATATCACATTGAAACATTGGTTCTCATACGATCACTGAAGTTAAGCAACATCAAGCATGGCCAGTATCTAAATAGGGGACCACTTGGGACTACCAGGTGCTTTAATCTTGGATGTGCAGGTAGTGTAATGGATAACGGCTCAGAATTGGAAATCATACACCTAAATTCCAATTCCAGTCAGGTTCATTATATTCACTTACATGCAAATACTCTTGGGCAAAGTATGAATCAACCTCTTCTCCCTCCAGCTATGGGTTAATTAGTAGGACTTGTAGGAGTAAAATCATTATCTCCAAAAATTTCTTATTCTCTAAAAATATCTCTATCTATAAAAGGCAGGATGTGTGTAACAAACACATGGCCGCAATTTTCGACAGATTTGCCCCAGAATTTACATGCACATGCTCCAAGTTAGCGGGAAGGCCAACACTGACTTTGCATTTCCCAACTCCCATCGATAGTGGAAATAATCAATTTTTTCATGTTTCTACGGCAGTTTTCATATAATTTGCGGCCATTTTCTACTGGCTAGAGTGACAGCCTATAGCTGGCTGCCACGAATAGGCAGGAAGATTCTATTGGCCAGCGTGAGAGCCAACAGCTGACTGACACGAATGTTAACTAGCATGCTAGCATACAAAAAAAAATAATTGATAGCTGCATTCGTCACAAGTGGGAAAAATTTAAATCTGCATGGTACTTTACACCAATCGGCTCATTCGCTTGCTTAAACTCACGTTGATTCTGATTCCACAGAACTGGGTTGGATGTGAAAAAGTATTTGTTGTTAACATTCTTTTTTCATTCGGTTTTTCCAGTTATGAGTACTTTTTTTTAAAGCTGATCGTTTTGTGTTCATTTTGTTTAGTTCTTTTTTCGTAACAGGTTTAATGTTTAATATAGAGCTTAGAAAAAATTCGCAGTGTCAGATAAGTAAGGCATGTAGCAACATCAGCATGGCAAAGGGCACTCCTTTAAAGGCAAGGAAGGGCAAAAATATTTTAAGTCAAGTGATAGTGATTGCTGTATAAGTCGTACAATTTTTGAATCAAGCACGGGCAACGCCGGGCCATGCTGCTAGTTTTAAATAACCATCAAAATGTTGATAAGTTGTAAAAAACAAATCAATGATTGGATAAATTAAAACTTGCCATTTTGTTTAAAAATTGGTATCACCCCAAGCAAGGCACTAAAGCAACTAAGAAACAAGGCATTAAAGGTGGGGAAGAATTAGAAACAGAAACATTATTAATGAGCAGGATGAAAAAAAAAGAGTAATCAGGAGGATAGTGATTGAGATTTCATTTAAATTTTTGCAGATTAAATTTGGCTGGAAAGCATGGAGCTGGAAGGGAGTTTCACAAGTGAGAAGTGTGAGAAAAGAAACGGTTAGCATATAATCTACATTTACATCTAGTCAGCTCAACTGTCAATTGATGAGATCTTGATGACAGTCTAGTGCTGCACTTAAATTTAAAGCCTAGGTACCATAGCAAAAAGATCATCTGAAGAATTATCAAGAAAATATATATAGTAAAGACAGAGAAGCAAACTTATGGCAGTGGGAAAGTGACTGAAGCCAAGATGCCAGATCAGGACCCATAATATTGCTGATTCTTTGTATTTTATGAATGAGCTCAAGCTAAATCAAATAATAATGCTTGATATTCCATAACATAACCATCCTTCTTGCATGGCATGAAGAGCATGCTGAGCTTCCATCTTAACATCTTTAAACTCTTTACTTATTTGATCTTGTTTGGCAACTGGTTTCAATACAAAGTTCAGCTTGGTTCTCACCGGGGCATGATCAGCCCATCTATCATCATCATGCACAGAATGAACATTGTGCATGTCCTGCATGTCTTACTTGTGGACAATGATATAATCAATCAGATGCATTCATATAGTGACATGGTCATGCTTGTGTTTGAACTGCGGGCTAGAGATAAAGTGATTAAATTCAGTACAGAGTTTACAAGCAGTAAACCATCTGAGTTACTTTTCCCAGAGCCATATCTAACAAAACAGCCAATCTGTGCCAATCTCGGGTTTGAAGTCACTGAGAAGGATAATCTTGTCATCCCACAGCACTGAACTCAGTACTCCCCTTAAGGACAGGTGGAACTGAGCTATTACAACATCATCACTGTCCAGTGTTAGTGCATAGACACTAACTACAGTGACACAGCAGGATCCATGTAGGTGTAAAAAAAGGGGTCATCAAAAAATCATTGACACCTTTTGTGTGTTCTACAAGGCTTGACATAAGTTTGCTACAAATAGCAAAACTCACACCAGCATCTCTATTTTCAACTTTCTTGGCTTTCCAAAAAAAGGTGTAGCCACCGTCAACATCCTGCAGTTGACCATCATCAACAAGACATGTTTCTCAAAGAGCAACTAAAAAAAATATATTGAACTGATAGACTTAAAAATCCATAAAATGAACTTATATATATGTACATGAGAGGGTGCTAAATTTAACTGAGAAATTTTCAGCACCCCTCTTTTCATATATATATATATATATATATATATATATATATATATATATATATATAGGGTGTATTAAAAATACATTTACAAACTTTGGGAGCAGGATCCTCACATCAAAACAAGGACAAAAGTCCATATAAACAAATGTCTGCAAACCCTTCCTTTTAGTTTACAGTAGATGATGCTGTTTTGCCATATAGACTAGGTTACATTTGTCATTTTTGTACATTTGTGGCTAGTTTGTCTTCAACATTTAATGTGTGTAGTAGTGAGTTAATTGAGAAGAGTTCCATTTAACAATGGCAGAATACTCATATCGTAAGCAGGCAGATATGATTTTTACATAGGGCCATGCAAATGGTAACAGATACGAGGTTGCATGGCTGTATCAGATTGTACTTCTATACCAAAGGCAGCTGAGACAACCAACCTTTGCTGCTGTTTATCATTGCAATGCTGAAACAGGCACCATAAACTATGGATCAAGGAAGACCAAAGATCTGCTCATTCCACAAGGAACACATTCTACAGACTGTCAGAGATTATCCAGGTATCAACACATATCAAGTAGTCCTAGCATGTCGTAGATCTCATAGTACCACATGGAGGGTACTTCAAGAGCAGCTCCTGTATCATTTGCAATGTGTGTGGGTTTTTTGCCCTCTGATCACTCACCACAGGAGAACTTTTGCTGATGGCTTATTGCACAAGCTACCAATCCATTGTTTGCATCTTCAGTTTTGTTTACGGATAAGGCAACATTTAGAAAAGATGTTATAACAAATTTACACAACCAACATTTGTGGGCAAATTGCATTCCCCATGGTACAATACAGGTTAGCATGAGTTTATGATTAATGTGTGGGACATTATTTTGAACACACTTCCAGACCTGCTAGAGGATGTACCCCTGTTAATATGAAGATACATGTTGTTCATGTATGATGGGGCTCCAGCACATTTTAGTCACATTGTTTGTGATGCACTTGCTGACATCTACTATGAAAGATGGAGGAGGTAGGGGAGGACCTGCACATTCCTTGATCTCAAACTTTTGGGTTTATATCTTTGGTGTCATCTAAAACAATTGGTTTATGCAGCAAACACTAATAATGCAGAGACACTTCATAAATGTATCATAGGGGCTTGCAAAACCATTCAACACCATGTGAAGGTATTTGAAAGGGTTTGCCAGTCAATGATTCAACAGATATATGCACATGTAGAAGCAAGAGGAGTACATTTTGGTTTGGTGTGTTGTGTTTTACGGCATATCAACCTTAATGGGTTATTTAATGCCGACAAAGATTTTATTGCTGGTAATATTTTGTTTTGGTAAAAATCTATTTCTGGTATTAATTTTTTCCTTCAAAAATGTATTGCTGGTAATAATTTTTTTTTCAAAACAATTACTGATGATAATATTTTTTTTTTTTTTTTAACAAAATATTCCTTGTATTAAAACCCATTTTCACCTCAGTTTTGGGGTTAACTATTTGCCCATAACTGGGACCATAACAGGTGCTACCACCTCGGGCCAGGGTGGTCCTGGGAACACCAGCAATTAAGAGGTGGTTCCATGCTCCTCAAAACCTCCTGATCAGAGGCCTTGCTGCTGGACATAGTTTATCATCATACCCAGGACAGAGTATATTTTGAACATTTGTTGAGTTGCTGTTTTGAGATACAATGATGGCCTTTTGGACATATGTTTAAATGGAGATTTTACCTTGTTTTGGTTTCAGGAACCCACCCCCAAATGGTTTTTCTGTAAAAATATTTTTGATACACCGTGTATATATCTCAACTTACCACAAGTCTGAGTTTTAATTTTGTTGGTTAAAGTTGTGATAAGTAAGGTTCATCTGTTGCCCAGTTCAAACTTCAAAATAAAAGGCGGAAGGAAAGAAAGTCAAGATCTATATCTGCTTCATCAAATATAAATATTAGTGGAACTAAACTCATCACAGATGAAGAAGAGTCGTGAGGCAACAGAAATGTGATTTTACAGAAGGATGCTGAGAATACCACAGACTGAATATGTAAGTAATGAGTCAGTTGTAGGGAAAATGGTAATGAAAAGGACAATTAGATAGGTTCACCTATCATCTGATTCACCTTCCTCCTCAGTCCTTTGAACAGGAGAAGAGGTTTATCACTTATTCCCTTATTAGAACTGGGTTTCCAGTTCTGTCTCCTAAAGTTTTCAAATTCTCTTTCACTCCCAGTAACCCCTTGTGCCTTAGTGGTGTTATTGCCTTGCCTGGGGTGAAATCATTAAAAAAAAAAAAAAAAAAAAACTAAGAAAGAAAGGATGATATTAATTGGTGATCTATATTTTATTAGAAATATATAAAATTCCGAGCTGTTAACAACATAAACGCTCCATTGGTTAGCACATGATTTCTATCTTGTTTCCTTGAAAATGATCAATGATAGTAGAAAGTATTCAGAACATTGCACATGATTTCAATAAGTTGTTTTACAAGTTTCTATTCCGCATCAAACAGATTATTTGACACCAAGAGATACTCACAGAATGTATGAACAGATATGACTTGTCCGTTCTTTTTAATAAAATGTGTTTGAATGAACGATTGCT